TAGTCATTGAAGTTTATTGAGACCGCTGCTAAACTGCTACTATATGCATATATTTTACCGCCCTCTAAAAACAGATTTACAGTAAACCAACAAATTTACGTACTGCAAGAAACTTGGTAGTATGCCATTGGTTAGTGCATTTAATTTGTTTGATGCAATCATTGTGCCAGCTATTTCTTGTGTTAGCGATATGGGGGTACGAAAAATTCGGAAATCGAGAGGGTACAGACAACATTTTGCAGATATCTACTTAGCATTAATAGTTGTACAAACAATGTAGCGATGTTGGACGAATGTGGAAGGCTGCCATTATGCTGTGGTTATTTCAAGCGTTGTATCTTATATTGGTGAATTAAATAACAAATAGCTGAAACGCCAAAACATGTTATATCATGCTTAAACGATTAGACAAGACCGGCAGACTTACTTGGGAAACCCACATAAAAATCTCCTGTTCAAATATGGTTTCGGCATTGCCTGGTTTGGAAAACAAATTGCAGATACTGCAAATTTCTTAGGGATATTTACTTAAAGAATAAACAAATTGTTGTCAGCAAGAATGGCATGCCCCAATTTCACAATCATCCAGGCTGTGTACTTTCGGAAAAATCAATATGGTATTATAACCTGGGAGATTTATTGGCAAGCAATTATAGACTAAAATATATCATGATACTGACGAGTTTTCGCTGTTTTGGCCATGAACATAATGTTGAATTAGGCAGACACACAAAAATACAGTTAGATTAATTAGTTTTTGCAGTGATACGTTTGAATTTAGCATGTATATGTTCATTTTATATTGATCTAAGGGCTGATATTTTGTCAATAATTTTATGCAATTATGCTATACTGACAGTCTGGGCTTACTTCGTCGCTACACAAACTGCCACACCATATATCAACTAGCTTTGTATCTTTTAAAAGTTTTCAAGCGACGAGATGAATATGAATCCAGCTTAACTTAGTACCATATGTTCACATGGATGTTGTATTGTTTTTAAAACGTGATATGCACTTTTCTACCCATTATATTTTGTACGTTGTGGTGAGGCCCTGTACAGAAATAAAATTACATAATTGACTAACACTAAAATGAATAATTGTAGACAGATTTCGACATGAAATTGTGTCACTTTATATGTGCGTTAACATCTGTGAAGAGCGAAAAAGCTCATGAGTAGCATTCTACTGTGATGAATTGTTTTTGCGTATCTGTTAATCGACTTAATTAGCTGATTACGAGTGAATGGCTGTCTTATGTCTGTCATCGTTTCGGTCCATTTGAGGTTCTGGACGAAACTCGACTCAGTTATTTGGAACTAATTACGAGATAACCGTCGCTATTCGGACTACTATTTCTGACAGTTAGTATTCGCAGTTATTAATATAGTGAACAATTAATCAAAAGATATGACGTGTTCAGTACTTAGTGTGATTGGCTTTATGATTGAAGGTTACGCCCTAGAGTCTTTTTACTGCTTTGTAATTGGTTAAGGTTTTGAAAGTGAATAAAGTTGTTTTAGTTGGTCTTGGCGAGTACACCAGGAGAGACGCAGTCCTGGAGAGTCTTGAAGCGAGTCTTGACGCAGTCTAGAGAGAGTCTTGGGTTAGCCTTGCGATAGTCTTGGGGATTTTCCCCCAGGGCGCTGTGTCTTGTAGAGTGCTCGGCTGACCGACTAAACACGAGAGCTGAAACGTATTTCGTTGTGTGTGTCTATTTGACTGTAAAGTTTAAGTGACTTTCCCGATCCCGTACCTCAAAGGGACGCAATAGAGAGACGAGACGAGACCCCCCCCCCGACACGTGTGGAGAACCAAGAGAAGAAGAATTTCCCCCTGATACTACCTTAAAATGCTTAGACAATAATGCTAAGATACGTACAGTCTTGTCTTTTTTGTGTACAACATTTTGGATCAAGGTTGTGGGTGTGTTTGTCTGTGGGTGGGGAATGGCCTAGGACCCCTTCTCTAAAATGGTAAAATAGTTCAAAAATGTTATGTGGAATAACTTACCAACGTAACACAAAGTAAACCAATTTAATTTAAAACCGAGAATATAAAATGCATGTAACAGAGCTCAAACACACTTTTTAAATATTTATAAATTCACACGTTTCACATCAAATATATCATTTATTGTTGTTTTCGAACCCCCTATTCAAAAGTGCTGGCTACGGGTCTGCATATAATAAGCATACCTTTTCTCCTATACGTATACTCGTGTTCTTCTATATACATTTTACCAAGTATCTCGCGATTATTGTTCCACTCATATCACGTGTAATTACGCTCTGGTCGTGTAGTTTGATGGACCATCACTGATCAATTGCTGGTCAGAATGCCTTTCATACAATTCCCACCAATAGTGTATATTGTGACGTCCAACAGGCCCACTGAGTTAACCGCCACATCAGCCAGAAAAGAGTAAAATGCAGTTCAGTCGGCTCTCTTAACTGTTCTGCTCTACATTGGTGAGGTTGAAAAACACCTTACCTCAACAAGGAGGGGACACAATGATACGACTATTTAACAGTTTGGCAGCAGAAATTCTCTATTCATCTTAAAGTGCAATCACATCAATCTCATCTGCAACACATTGGCCAACGCACTATCGTGGGCTCGGACCAAATGATTGTGTACATCAATCTGCCTGCTACACCACTAAACACCAAAAGACTGGTGTTTGTGAAGAGGCACTCCTTGACATGGGACGTAATGCTCATCAGCTGGGACAACATCGATGCCTACACGCGTTTCTCAAACACAAAAGTGACACTGATAGCGCCGTTCTAGTTAAGTCAAGGGTGGTCATCCATCTCTTGGTCACTACTAATAGAGGAGTCGGGGAGATTACCTGATAACACAGGGTTTCTGTCCGTTCCACGGCTGAACATCAGAATCATCAGAGGTG